GTAGAGATGAGGTCTCGCCAAGTTGCCCAGGTGGGTCTCGAACCCGCGGGTTTAGGCAATTCACTCACCTCAGCCTCCCAAAGCGCGGGATTACGGGCTGAGCCACTAAGCCCAGCCAGGTCTGGGTTTTAATGAATGTATTTTTGAAAGTAGCTAGGCAACAAATAAAGAAGAAAGAAAATAATAATCATAATGTTATGATTTTCCACACCACTGCAGAATTTACCAAAAGAAATCAGGCAATGTTTTTCAAAGTGGAATACACATCAGCATTCAACTGCTGTTAAGCATTCATAATAAGCATAAAGTTCTCAGGAAACACATAGAATCTGTGCACATTTCAGAAATTTTCTATGGTTGTAAATTTTATGGGGAATTTAATTGGACCCTGAACATTTATCATAATACTATAAGAAAGGGATTGGCAGTAGTGGGACACTGCCAGGGGAGGGGGAGAACATAACATCAGTAAGGGTACCCACACTTTTACATATGTGTGTATGATGACCACATATGTACCTAACCCTCATTTGTTCCCCACATTTTAAAATAAAATAACTATTAAAAAATTTATGAGGAATTTAATGTAGAAACCAGAGGAAATTACTGTAAATTCACTACAGTACAAAAAAAAGCACTCAAAACACATCTTGTTGATTCTCAATATTCCACAAAGTCATCATTAATATCATCAGTGCAGGAAAAATGGGTAAAAGAAATGTCTGACTTAGAAACACATATATTGTGTTACTGAAGTGTATAGTAGAGGTGAAAAATGAACAATCTTTAGTTTTTCCTCATGACAAAAATACAATATATTGAATATTTCAGTAAGAAAGTTTTATTTTTTTAATTTAATTTTTTTTTTTTTGAGTTGGAGTCTCACTCCGTCACCCAGGCTGGAGAGCAGCGACACACTCACAGCCACCCCAGCGTCGACCTGCTGGGCTCTGGTGAACCTTCTGCCTCAGGCTTCCAAGTAGCCGGAACTACAGGTGCACACTATCACGCCTGGCTAATTTTTTATTTATTATAGAGACAAAGTCTCACCAAATTGCCCAGGCAGGTCTCGAACCCGCGGGCTCAGTCTATCCACTCGCCTCGACCTCCCAAAGTGCTGAGCCACTGAGCCCCGCCGAGAACGTTTTAGATGTGTAAGAAATAAACTCACCATACTTGGAAGTTTGTGAACGATTTAAGACCATGAAAGACTTAGGACACTGAGAAAGTATAAATGGATGTATCCCTAATGGCCAGAAAGAGTTACTGCACTTTAAAAGAAACTAAATGTACTTTATGAATTTGCTAGCAATCTCAAGTGTAGTTACAAGCCACTCTATAAAAGTTTACTAAATTTTTCATTTATATTTTCCACTGAGTTAGATTTCTCCCCTCTAGATAAACAGATAAATTGGTATCAGATGCTCTACACAAAACTGCTGGATGGTCAATGAGAAAAAAATTAAAAGCAGGAATAGAGTATCACAGTTGATAGACTAAATGAGAAAATGATATGGTGTATTAACAAAGTACTTTTTAAGTTGTTTAAAATATATATTATATACAAAATATTCTATATAATATATAAATGGTTAAATGAAGGTGTGAGGTAAGATGACTGAGTTGCTGGTGTTTACCACGAATATATACATTTTGATGTCTGCTTTATAAATTCTAAATACACATAGTTTATCTATACTAAGGCATATTTTGCTCCGAGCTCAGAGAATATTTGATGCGAACTCACCTGAATAAATGCTTGACTGTCTTTAGAAACTACTGAATCACCCGAAGGCAGGAGAGGCTCGCTTTTCCCACAGCTCTCCTGGCTGATGGGCATGTCCGCGTAGTTGGGCTGGGGGAAGAGCAGGTGGCTCTTGCGCGAGTCCGCGGTGACCGACACCTCGTGGGAATAGGTCCGCAGGAAGGCCCGCACCCCGTCCACGCCCACAAAGTGCGAGGCGGGCACGCCCACCAGCCCGCCGCCGGAAGCCTGGAGCTGGCGCGACTTGTGCCAGCGCCGCAGCCGGAGCGCCAGCAGCACGATGACGAAGGCCAGGAAGACGCAGGAGACCGCGGCCACCGCCACCACCAGGTACAGCGTGATGTCTGACGTTTCGGAGTCGGCGGGAGACTCTAGACTGTCCAGATCGGCCAGGACTTCAGGGATCCTGTCGGCCACGGCCACGGTGAGCGTGACGGTGGCCGAGAGAGGGGGCTGGCCGTGGTCCTGGACGGCCACCACGAGGCTCTGCTTGAGCGCGTCTCTGTCCAGCAGGGCCCGCGCCGTGCGCACCTCGCCCGTGTGCAGCCCCACCGCGAAGAGCCCGGGCTCGCTGGCCTTGAGCAGGCGGTAGGACAGCCAGGCGTTCTGGCCCGAGTCTCTGTCCACCGCCACCACCTTGGTCACCAGGTAGCCGGGCTCTGCGGAGCGGGGTGCTAGCTCCACACCCGTGGAACCGTCGGTGGGGAGGGCGGGGTACAGGATCTCGGGTGCATTGTCGTTCTGGTCCAGCACGAACAGGCTCAGGGACACGTTGCTGCTGAGGGGCGGGTCGCCGCTGTCACGCGCCATCACTTGCAACTGCAGGTCTCGGAACTGCTCGTAGTCGAAGGACTGCAGAGCGTACAGGACGCCGGTGTCCGAGTTGATGGAGACGTAGGAGGACACGGGCGCTCCGAGAAGTGTTTTCTCGGCCAGGGAGTAAATGACCTGGGAGTTCTCCTGACTGTCGGGGTCGTGGGCGGTCACGGAGGCCAGGGAAGCACCCCTGGGGTTGTTCTCTGGGATATAAGTCGAGTAGGCGGCCTGAGGAAAAACGGGTGGGTTGTCGTTGATGTCTGCCACGTTCAGCGAAATGTGAGTTTCCGTGGACAGGGGCGGGGTTCCCCGGTCCGTGGCGGTCACCGTGATGTTGTAGCTAGGAACCTGTTCCCTGTCTAAGACTGTGTCTGTGACTAAACTATAGTAATTTGCATAAGATCTTTCTAATTTAAAGGGCAGACTTCCTTGGATGAAACAGATCACCTGTCCATTTTCCCCGGAATCTTGGTCATTTACATTTAAAAGGGCAATTAGAGTTCCTCTGGGAGAGTTTTCGGGAACGGAGCGGGTGAGAGAGGTGACGACGACTTCAGGGGCGTTGTCGTTCACGTCCAGGACAGTGATCAGGACTTTGGCCCGTGCAGAATATCCCGCGTTATCCATCGCTTGCACTTCCATCTCGTAGAAGCCTGACTCCTCGTGGTTCAACTCCCCTATGGTCGATATGGCCCCTAAATCACCATCGAGCTCGAAAACCTGGGCTGCCTTGTCGTCCACGTACCGGAAGGAATATCTCAGTTCCGCATTGGCGCCCTCGTCCGGGTCCGTGGCGTTCACCAAGAGCAGACGAGTGCCCACGGCCACGTTCTCCGGGACGCTCACGCGGTACTCGGACTGAGCAAAGGCGGGGGCGTTGTCGTTCGCATCGAGGACCGTCACGCGGATGCGCGCGGTGCCTGTGCGTACCGGGTCGCCTCCGTCCGAGGCCGTGAGCGCCAGGTGGTGAGCCGCCTCTTCCTCGCGGTCCAGGGCGCGCTCCAGCACCAGCTCCGGGTATTTGTTCCCGTCCACCCCGCTTTGCACGTCCAGGGAGAAGTGACTATTCGGGCTGAGCCCGTAGCTCTGGAGAGAGTTCTTTCCGATATCTGGATCCCAAGCGTGGGGAAGAGGGAACCGCATTCCAGTGGCCGCGTGTTCGCTCACTTTTATTTCTAATTCACTTTCACGGAAGTAGGGCGCATTATCGTTAATGTCCCTCACCTCTACTTCCACCCCGTAGAGTTTCACTTTATCCTCCATCAGAATCTCTAGATTTAGTTGACACTTGATGGCCCCCATGCAGAGCTTCTCCCGGTCTATCCTGCCCGCGGTGACCAAGCTGCCGCCTCGCGGGTTCAGAGCGAAGAGCTGCGACCTACCTCTGGAGACGATGCGGACTCCGCGCCCCGCCAGCTCCCGGGGCTCCAGCCCCAGGTCCTTGGAGATGTTGCCCACGAAGGAGCCTTTCTCCAGCTCCTCGGGAACGGAATAGCGTATCTGAGTGCACCCGGTCTCCCACAGGATCCCCAGAAGGACTTCCAGCAAGACCAGCCCTTTGCAGTCTCCACGCAGTCGCGCAGGAATCATCATCACTTTCCTCCAGGATTATTTCCAATCCTGCCCTTGACCGCCGAAGTCGGGATCAGTTCTTCAGCCCCCAGGCTCGGACAGTTCGGGAACCAGAGCCCCTCCGTTCAGTTTCCTCACAGTCCCAGAGATGGTGCGTTTCCAGCTGTCTGCTTTGTGCTCTAGGCGCTTGCAAGGCGAGCAGGATCTCTGCTCTTCTCTCCCTGATTGGTGAACAGCGGCGCTCAGAGTCCTAACCAATTACTGCACAATCTTGAACTCCGGGAAAGGATTTTTGGTTTATATTTATACCTTAAATAGCTCCATCTACTGTTCTTCAAAAACAGATGGAAATCCACAGCATTCGCTTTTGTAGAAACTTCAAGAAGCTTCTGTGTATTTCTCCAAAAGTGTTCATACAGAGCCACGTTCTTGAAATTATTTTCTGTAGCTGTCTATGTATTCTAATGTTCCCAGTGAGTTTTTAAACGAATTTGAAGTTTCTATAAAAAGTAATTTTAGCCTTATAATTTTAGTGCATCTGCTTTGAGATTACTCTTCCCCCTGTACACACCCCATTATAGAGGAATGTCTCCCTAGGAGTTTCTGTTTTGAGAAACCATAAAATAGAATAATGTAAACTTTTTGGCACAGCTATAATTTGAGGCAAGCATTTTTTCAATAGATTTCCTCAACTTGACTGAATGGAAAAAATGACTTTATCAGGTTGTTAACATTTAACACTTAAAAACTAAAATTTCACAATATGGAAACCTAAAAATGAAAAATGTGATTGTGTACGTTATCTGAATCACTCCTGGCATGAAGTCAAGTGAAGAAAAAACATGAAAATTTTTAGCAAAATGAAAGCATTCCAACTTGCATTGACTGGAAATAATGATAGTGCTCCACATTACATTAATACATTATATTTCAAAAAAGCTTTAGCAAAACTTAGTAAAAGAAAATTAGTAAACCAAAGACTATCATAAACTTACCTTTTCTTGGGCAACTAACCTAATTCTAGTTACTGAGAATTACTGATAACGCATTCAGAAACCCATCAAAATATAGGAAAAGAATCCTCCCTAAGAAATAACTGGCTACTGTACTTTCAAGAGTGTAAATACTTATACTCTGAGGATAAGTAAGTTTGATAGTTATAAAATAAAACAATATCCTTAAAACTTAAATCTGCAGAGAAAAGATCAGACAAAATCGAGCTTACTCAGAGAGATTACAAGAATTGCTAGTAAATGTACCTGAATATTATCGTTAAATCATTGCTATGTCCTTATTTTTTTTTAAGCCTTTTCTCAGCTGGGCATGGTGGCATGTGCCTGTGGTCTCAGCTACTCTGGAGACTGAAATGGGAGGATCATCAGCATCATCCAGTCTGGGCAACATAGTGAGACCAATCTCTTTTTTAAAAAAATCCTTTTCTCATGCATTTTCCTCTCAATTTATAGTTAACAGATTAAAGAAAAAGCCTTATACATAAGATACTGATGTCTCAAGAAACACTCACAGAAGGAAAAAATTTACACTTCAATTAGTAATATTTCAATGAAGCAGTATCATAATACCCACTTCTCACAGTAGCTTGCGTGTGTTTATAAAGAATATCTTGGGTGAAATTGTCAAAATATTTCAAAATATTTGAAGGCTAATAATGAAATTACTGGCCCACACAGAAAGGAGCAGAAAATATTGAGAGTGGGCAAACACTCCTGAAAGCAATGCGAGACATGTTTAAGATTTTCTTGCCAAAATATTGGTTTGGAAATTAAACCAAACCATTTGCAAATGAAAGACATTCATTAAAACTCACGTGAGTAGGAGCAACAGAGTCAGAGCTTGTCTTGTTTTTCTCTTCAGTGAAACTTACTACCAAAGAAGCTTCATTAGAAAGATCTTGTGGGGGGACCATTTCTGGAGTCATGGTGAGAAAATTAAACTTTGTTTTCTGAGAATTGGCAACATACAGATTGTAGGAATAAGGCAAAGTTCCTTCACTGTAGTTGAGAGAAACCCCTGGTCTAGTCTTAGAACAGAGACCAGGCTGAAAGCAGTCCCAGGCAGAGGGGCTGGAGGAGCGTCGCAGGCGCAGGGCGATGGCCAGAATCACAGCGAGGAGGAAGAGCACAGAGACCAAGGCCAAGGCCACCACCAGGTAAAACTGCAGCTCCGCCTGGGAGTCAGAGGGCACAGGACCATCACCGAGGTCCGGCAGGACCTCTTGCAGACTGTCTGCGAAGACCAGGTGCAGCGTGGCGGTGGCCGAGAGGGGCGGCTGTCCTCCGTCACGCACCGCGACCAGCAGGCGCTGACGGGCCGCGTCCCTGTCGCCCAAAGCGCGCGCCGTGCGCACCTCGCCCGTGCGCAGCCCCAGGCTGAAGAGCCCGGGCTCGCTGGCCTGCAGCACGTGGTAGGACAGCCAGGCGTTGTGTCCCGAGTCGGCGTCCACCGCCACCACCTTGGTGACCAGGTAGCCGGGCTCCGCGGCGCGCGGCACCGTGTCGAAGAGCGCGGAGCCGTCGGGCCCCAGCGCGGGGTACAGCACCCGCGGCGCGTTGTCGTTGCGGTCGCCCACCAGCACGCGCAGGCTCACGTGGGCGCCCAGCGCGGGCGAGCCCTGGTCGCGGGCCTGCAGCGTCAGCTCGAAGGCGCGCAGCTGCTCGTGGTCGAAGGCGCGCTGCGCGAACACCACGCCGCTCTGCGCGCTCACCGACACGTAGGACGACAGCGACCCGGGCTCCAGGTCGCTGGCCACGATCGAGTAGGAGACTTGGCCGTTGGGCCCCAAGTCCGGGTCCGAGGCGCTGACCTGCGCGATGGAGGCGCCAGGTGGGTTGTTTTCGGCCACGTCGACCACGTAGGATGCCTGTTGGAAAACCGGAGCGTTGTCGTTGACGTCGCCGATGTGCAGGGTGACGGTTATGCTAGAGGAGAGAGGCGGCTTGCCCCGGTCTGTGGCTATGATAGTGACGTTGTACTCTGGAGTCTGCTCTCGATCCAGGATCCCGTCTGTTACTAGTTTGTAGTAATTATTGGCGGAAGATTCAATTCTAAAAGGAACATTTTCTTTTATGAAGCATGTGACCTCTCCGTTTTCTCCCGAATCTTTATCATGTGTTTTGAACAGAGCGATCACAGTCCCGGATTCTGCGTCCTCAGTTAAGGAACTGGACACCGAAGTAAAAGTCACCTCAGGGGCATTGTCGTTCTCGTCTAGAATTTCTAGTATAATTTTACACTCGCTGGTCATGCCTCCACCGTCTCTCGCTTCTATGTTCATGGTGTAACTGCTACTGATTTCAAAGTCTAGATAGTCTTTGGATTTAATCTCTCCATTTCGACGGTCTAGCATAAACCTATTTCCAGTAGCATCTCGTCGCGATTTGAAAGAGTAGGTGATCTCTGCATTGACACCCTCATCCTGGTCGGTGGCTGTCACCGTTAGCACAGAGGTGCCCGGGGGCATGTTCTCTCTAAGGCTGACTTTGTACAGATCCTGGCTGAACACTGGGGCATTATCATTGGCGTCAGTGACCTCGATTTGAATTGTAACAGTGCCAGTTAGGGCAGGTTTGCCTCCGTCCACCGCTGTCAGGACCAGGAGATGGGAGCTCTGTTGTTCTCGGTCCAGGGACTTCTCCAGCACCAATTCTGGGGCATTCTTGCCTTCAGTCTTGCCCTTCATCATCAGAGAGAAATGCTCACTAGGGCTGAGTTGGTAACTCTGGAGAGAGTGAGGCCCTACGTCTGCGTCTGTAGCAGATTCCAGGCCAAACCGAGTGCCTGGAATTGCAAATTCGTTGATTTGTAAAATGATGCTATTGTGGGGGAAATGAGGTGGGTTATCATTGATATCTTCTATCATCACGTTGATGTGAAAAACATTTAGAGGATTTTCTGCCACAATCTCTAAAGGCACGATGCATAGAGGCTTTGGGGGACAGAGCGACTCCCGATCCACTCTGTCATTCACAAGTATGTTTCCATTCTCCGTGTTCACGGTGAAGTATTGCTTCTCTGCACTAACTCTGAGGTTGCGCGCCAATAAATCCCGGACATGCAGCCCCAGATCCTCGGCGAGGTTCCCCACCACCGAGCCCCTGGCCATTTCTTCTGGTATAGAGTAGCGGATCTGCTCCGGGAGCGCCGCGCAGAACAAAGGCTGCAGGAGGAGAAAGAGTACTTGCCGCCGCCGCCGCGTCCCGCTTGTCTGCTTCGCCCTATTCGCCATCCTTTTCGTGCGTTGCTGCAGCCTCCGGAGTTAAGAAAAATGTTTCACCAGCTTCTTTTACTGCCACGCGTAGAAAGCTCGGTGCTCCCAGTGTGAAGGCATCCTGATCTGTATGGAATCAGACTTGCCGAGCAGAAAGCTCCGGGCTACTCTCCTTTCCGACTTGCTTCTGTGACTGCGCAGAATATCCCCGGGTAGATCCCAGACTCCGGCTCGCGCAGCACGTTGGCCAACAGCGGCGCTCTGAGTCGATTTAGAAAACTGCAGCAGAAGCCTTTGCAAATTCAATGGGGTCTAGAATTCCAACAAAGACATTGCACTAATGCATAGGGAACCGGGCACTTTTTGGGTTTGAATGTGTCTATTACTGGTGTTTACTACCAAAGAGGGTTCCTTAAAGATGAGATCCTATAGAAGAACCATTATCTCAGCAAAAAGAGGTTAAAAGTTTGTCTTTTCCCAATAAGAGGCAATGCATATATTGGAAGAACCAGGCAAAGTCTTCTCTCCAGATGCAGAACAAAGACCATGTGGGAAAATAGCCCCACCAAGTGGCATGGGGAAAATTTGACAGTCATGAAATGGTACAGTATTATTTTCAATCTGATGTGCAGATATTTTTTCCTCCTACTTTTATCAGAAGAAATTGGAGGAACACAATGCTATATTGAGGCACACTCAAGATAAAGATGGCCAATGCCATAAAAATCTTCCTTGTTACTTATAATAGAGATTTTGGAAAAAGATTATTAGGTGTTTTACATTTTTGTCTAAAATATAATATAAAGGTATAGCCTAGTAGGTTGCCATAGGAATTTAATAACATGAAATGTGAGGTTTTTTTTATTTTTATCTCCTATTTAACTGGACCATATATTGCACCTTAACAGAACATTATCACTACCCTTTAATCGAAATAACCTTTTTAATATCAAGTTTCAAAGCCAATCCTTTCTTTTTGTTCTCCACAATCTTGGTTGTAGGTCCCTAAAATATGGAGCAATTTCTCTTTCTCACATACCGCATATCCTTTTTAATACATCTACTTCCAGGTCAAATGCAATGCCTTACATCTTTTCTTGTCAGTTTGGAATTCTATAAGGATAAATCCTATCCCTAGATATTCAAAGCACTCTAAAATTTTTCTTGACTTCAAGATAAATTCAGGCATCTGTTAGAGGACTTCCCTTTCCTATAGTGAAATTCTTCTTGCCCAAGCACTAGATACTCAGTTTACAGTTAATTACATTAAAGTCAATTCCTAAATGAGAAATGTAACCTCGAAAGGGAATATAAATGTGCAAATAATTTGGGCCAAATGTCTAGAAATGATGGGAGTGTGTTTAGCTGAATTGATGATGGGAATGATTCCTACGGACCAAAAGGCCTAGATAAGTCTCCTTTCCTTATTTGGCTTTCCTAGACAATACTTCAGATGTGTCACTAGGTTACTATCAAGGCTTCAGGAAGAAGTTAGTCTGAATACAAGAATTGAATGCACTATTAGCAATACAAAACGAGCTTACAGAAGAAACACGGGAGGAACCCATGACTCCTAGGTATACTGAAAATAAAAAAAATACCCAGAGAAATACTAGCTAGATCAGTCTCATAAAGTATAAATGCCAACCTCCAATCGTTTATACTCACAAACGTTTCTATATGAATACAATAGAAAAAAAGTCACCATTTTTAGCAGATTTGAGAATAGCTTTTTGAGAAGCATGGAATCAAAATTAAGTTATTCATGTATGTGAATTTACTACATTAAAAAAAACTTCCACACATACACACATAGACACTAAAGTAAAAGAATAAAAGGAAATAGTACCAGTACAACAATTATTTCTTCAGGACAATCTAATGACTTCATTGTAGTAATGGAAAAGATATCTAGAAATTAGGAAAAATGTGATCTATATTTCCTCTCCCAAGGAAGTCCAGTAATAAAACCAGTCAATATGTCTGTTTTGATGGATAAAGAAATGAAACAAAGCTGAAATAGTCAACAGTATCTAAACATATTACATATTAGAATTAAAATGGAATAGTTTCATACTCAGAGAAAAACTTATGCGCATGCATGTGTGTTGTGTGTACAGACAGATGAGAAAAAAACTAGATAAAACATGCAATTAAATCAACAGGGTCAAAATTGAACACTGGAAGTAATAGCGAATAATGATGGAATATAACCATAAATCAGTGGAGACATGGCAAAATTGAAATAGGGAAATAAGTGTTTGTGAATCACTAACCTTATCAAAATATATATTATATACTGATGGCCTCATACACTGATAATAGAAAAATAATACTAAAATTGAACTTAATGCACAGCAAGCCAAGATAGTGGAACTGGTCCCTGGAAATCAAAAGAAAACACGACAGGACTAAAAAATGACTTTCAAAAAACATTCTGAAAGATGACGGTAATCTTATGAAAGGTAAACGACACCAACTCTCACCTCTTGCTCTAAATATGTGTGACTAGATAATCCCACCCCCACGAAAGTTTTCATAACAGGAATTTTTTGAAGCGCCCCTCGAAAGACTTGTGCCAAGACACGAGCAATTGTAAGGCAGCGAAATAAATCTCACCTGATTACTTGTCGGGTCATATTTGTCTAAAACAGTAGCAGAGTCTTCAGCTATCAAGAGAGGCTCGCTTTTCCCACAGCTCTCCTGGCTGATGAGCATGTCCGCGTAGTTGGGCTGGGGGAAGAGCAGGTGGCTCTTGCGCGAGTCCGCGGTGACCGACACCTCGTGGGAATAGGTCTGCAGGAAGGCCCGCACCCCGTCCACGCCCACAAAGTGCGAGGCGGGCACGCCCACCAGCCCGCCGCCGGAAGCCTGGAGCTGGCGCGACTTGTGCCAGCGCCGCAGCCGGAGCGCCAGCAGCACGATGACGAAGGCCAGGAAGACGCAGGAGACCGCGGCCACCGCCACCACCAGGTACAGCGTGATGTCTGACGTTTCGGAGTCGGCGGGAGACTCTAGACTGTCCAGATCGGCCAGGACTTCAGGGATCCTGTCGGCCACGGCCACGGTGAGCGTGACGGTGGCCGAGAGAGGGGGCTGGCCGTGGTCCTGGACGGCCACCACGAGGCTCTGCTTGAGCGCGTCTCTGTCCAGCAGGGCCCGCGCCGTGCGCACCTCGCCCGTGTGCAGCCCCACCGCGAAGAGCCCGGGCTCGCTGGCCTTGAGCAGGCGGTAGGACAGCCAGGCGTTCTGGCCCGAGTCTCTGTCCACCGCCACCACCTTGGTCACCAGGTAGCCGGGCTCTGCGGAGCGGGGCGCCAGCTCCACACCCGTGGAACCGTCGGTGGGGAGGGCGGGGTACAGGATCTCGGGTGCATTGTCGTTCTGGTCCAGCACGAACAGGCTCAGGGACACGTTGCTGCTGAGGGGCGGGTCGCCGCTGTCACGCGCCATCACTTGCAACTGCAGGTCTCGGAACTGCTCGTAGTCGAAGGATTGCAGTGCATACAGGACGCCAGTTTCGGAGTTAATAGAGACATAGGAGGATAGAGGCACTCCCTGGATGGTGTCCTCAGTCAGAGAGTAAGTAACCTGGGCGTTCTCTTTGCTGTCTGGGTCGAGGGCAGTCACTGCGAAAATGGAGGCACCTCTGGGGTTGTTTTCAGGAATGTAGGCGGAGTATGAGGAGGGAGGAAAAGCAGGAGGGTTGTCATTGTCATCTGCCACATTCAGCGAGATATGAGTTTCTGTAGACAAGGGTGGACTCCCCTGGTCTGTGGCTGCCAACGTTATATTGTAGCTCTGGATCTGCTCCCTGTCCAGCACTCTGCTTGTTATCAATTTGTAATAATTTCCATAAGTCTTTTCTAATTTAAAAGGCAGGTGGCTAGGAATGAAACAGGAGACCTGACCATTTTCTCCAGAATCTTGATCTTGCACATTTAGGAGAGCAATAACTGTTCCTGGAGGAGAATTTTCCAGAATTGAATTGGTAGAAGAGGTGATAGTTATTTCCGGAGCATTATCATTCACATCCACAACCGTGATCAGTATCTTAGCAGTGGTGAAGAGACCTCCGCCATCTTGGCCTTGAATGTCCATCTCATAGAATCTGTATTTTTCAAAATCCAGAGGCCCCCTTACTAGAACTTCTCCAGTTTGAGAATCCAAGTGGAATATTTCAGAAGCTTTGCTTTCCATATTCCGGAATGCATACATCACTTCGCCGTTAACTCCCTCATCTAGATCTGTTGCATTTACCACTAGCACCCGAGTTCCGGAGCTGAGGTTTTCTGGAACACTCACTCGATATACAGGCTGTGTAAACTTTGGGCTGTGGTCATTTACGTCGAGGACCACCACACGAATGGGAACAGTGCCCTTGCGGATGGGATCTCCTCCATCTAAAGCTGTGAGGAGAAGGAGGTGAGCAACCTCTTTCTCTCGATCCAGGCTTCCCTCCAGCATTAGCTCGGGATTCTTGGCCCCATCAGTTCCGCCTCGTACTTGCAAGGAAAAGAGACCATTAGGGCTGAGCTGGTAGCTCTGGAGGGAGTTCACGCCCACATCTGGATCCCTAGCACTAGGAAGGGCAAATCGCGACCCAGGAGTTGCGTGCTCACTGACTTTTATCTCCACTTCCTCTTCCTGGAAGCTGGGAGCGTTATCGTTCACATCCATTATTTCCACCTCCACTCCGTAAATCTTTAAGGTGTCTTCCACAAGAATCTCCATATTAAAAAAACAGGAGGACGCCGTCTCACAGAGCTCCTCCCGGTCTATCCTACCCGCTGTGACCAAGCTGCCGCCTCGCGGATTCAGAGCGAAAAGCCGCGTCTTGCCTCTGGAGAGGATGCGCACTCCGCGCTCCGCCAGCTCCCGGGGCTCCAGCCCCAGGTCCTTGGAGATGTTGCCCACAAAGGAGCCTTTGTCGGTCTCTTCGGACACCGAGTAGCGGATCTGCCCGGCCCCGAACCTCCGCAGCGTCCCCAGGAAAATGCACAGCAGCACCATCCCGCTGCGGTCCAGGCGCTGTGGCCGATTCGCCATAGCAAGGTCTAAGCCGGTATTCCGCGGTTTCTTGAGCCGGTCTGTTCCGAATCGGCTTATGTATCGATGAAGTCCCAGGCTGTCCGCATCCAAAATACGTTAGAAAGCGAAGGAACGTACGCTTAAGTTTCCCTCATCAGGATCTGTGAGTATCCATCTCATTCCGCTTTGTGTGGTAGAGGCGGGGGAGGGAGGGACTCGATAGCTCGCCGCTTCCCCTTCCCTGATTGGTGAGCAGCGGCGCCTAGAGCCCAATATTATTATTGCAACGACTAAGAAAAACTGAAGTGATGGTTCCCTAAGAAATTATTAATATGACACTCACGGCTCCGTGAATCACACGTGTAAGTAAGGCTTACAATAGTTGTGCACAATGTGATGTTAAAAGTTTACCAAGAACACTTATGAAAGGGGTAATTATTAAAGAGATTTGCTTGATTTTAAAGTTTTCAAAATACTATTGGAACTGGAAACTTGCCAGTTAGAGTTGGTTCCAATTGATTTTTAGTCACTGAAAGGGGCGGCACTTCTGGATGTGGAACTAACAAGGGCCTGACAACATCACCAGGTAGGATGCCTGACTATAATTCTTACCAGTGTTTCTTTATTGAGTGAAATAAAAGAGAAACATTTGAGAAAATTTGAATAGCATTAGGAATTTCATTTAAAATACCATGATATAAAATATAACTGCATTCTATATTTTAACCAAAAGGTATTTTATTTCGTAAAAAATCTGCCTGAGTATTCCCATATACGTAGTTTGCCTTAAAACGCCTTTGAATAGTAGGAGAATTGAAGCATTTTAAACTTTTATCTTAACATCACAGTCTTAAATTTGACCTAGATTTATTTGAGGAACTCTAGGAAGAGATTATCTAGAATCTTAAAATAACATCCTTATATTGGGATTATTGGTATATCGGGATATAAAAAGCAGTTTGAATATTTACCTGTTTGAAAGTCTTCTTATCTTCTTCAACGTTAGAAGTTAAAATGCTAGCCAATAGCGCTGAAGAGTTATCTTTGTTGAGATTATTTTGTGTGGCTGGACAATGACCAACAGATGTGAGAAAGTTAAATTCCGAATTCGCTTGATCCCCAGGCACACACAAATTATAGGCATAGGGCAATGTTCCATCACTGTAGTTGGGGGGAACTACAGGTCCAGGTTTGGAGCAGAGAAGCGACCCAAAGCAGCTCCCGGCAGTAGGGCTGAAAGACTGTCGCAGGCGAAAGGCGATGGCCAAAATCACCGCGAGGAGGAAGAGCACAGAGATCAAGGCCAAGGCCACCACCAGGTAAAACTGCAGCTCCGCCTGGGAGTCAGAGGGCACAGGACCATCACCGAGGTCCGGCAGGACCTCTTGCAGACTGTCTGCGAAGACCAGGTGCAGCGTGGCGGTGGCCGAGAGGGGCGGCTGTCCTCCGTCACGCACCGCGACCAGCAGGCGCTGACGGGCCGCGTCCCTGTCGCCCAAAGCGCGCGCCGTGCGCACCTCGCCCGTGCGCAGCCCCAGGCTGAAGAGCCCGGGCTCGCTGGCCTGCAGCACGTGGT